TGTCAGTAAATATTCGATTAAATTGTAGGTCTAAATTTTCTAAATTGGTCGATGATAATCATCGGCAGATTTTTCAAGTAACATGTACGCCGGATGCTTTGCTATAGCCCCGAAAGTATGACCGCATTGGAATTTTATTTTATTGAATGCATGATTATGCAGTAAAATACAATTACGGTTCATATGACGATTTGCAGCCAATTTAGTAAAAACGTTAGCGTTAATTGTGTCTAATTTTGTATGTTCGTTACTTTCTTGCGTTATGTTTTATATTTTGCTTATAACGATAATACTATTATGGATCGGGTTTCAAAGTACACTACAACCATCACCACGACCGCTACCAGAACCACCAACAACATTCACAGATGAATTTGCAGGAAATCTTTTCAATAATTCTATTGAACTTCTTGAAAATGAAAAAGATTTTGATACGATTATTGAAGTGGGCGAATATCAAAAGAAAGAATTTAAGGCACATGCTAATATTTTGAAATATAGATCTTTATACTTTCGTATGGAGTTAAAAGATAAAGATCCTAATAGTATTACAAGAATTATTTTGAGTCCAAATATTTCTATTCACCATTTTGAAATTATTATTAAGTAAGTTACAATTTTTTATAAGATTAAGGTATGTAAGTTATTAAAAGGAATGAATTTAATTATGACAATAATAATTTAATTTTAAGGTATATTTATGAAGGTGTATTCTCTTTCAAATATCTCGATGATTCATCCACTTTCAATATTATGTTAGCCGCTTGTGAACTTCATCTTGAAGATTTAGCAAAGAATATTGAGTCATATTTTATTGATAAAAAACATCATTGGCTAAAAAAATATTTCGTCGCTCGTGTCTATAGTACAATTTTTCAAAGTAAATTTGATATGCTCCAAAAATTACGAAATTGGTGTAACGATATTGTAGTGAAATATCCAAGCGTTATTTTTGGCTCAGAGTATTTTACACTAATTCCAGAAAATACACTTATTTCGATTATCGAACGTGATGATCTAAAAATGGACGAAGTGGATGTTTGGAATGCGATTATTAAATGGGGAATTGCAAATAATCAAGGATTACCTGATAATCTTAAAAATTGGACACATAATGATTTTCGGGCCCTGAAAAATACTGTACAACATTGTCTACCTCATGTTCGTTATTTTCATATTTCTGGATATGATGTAGTCAAAGATATACGTCCGTATAAAAGAATTCTTGAGAAAAACCTTTGGAAAGATATATCTAACAAGCTAATGGCTCCAAATTACCCAATTTCATCAATAATCAAACCACCTCGTAAATCAGAGTCGTCTTTTCCAACAAGAATAGCTGCGACAAATTACACGCACGGATTCTTTGTAGAAACTCATTAGAATTCATGTGATAAGAAGGCAATACCACTGTGGCTATGAGAGTCAAGTCCACTCTGAAACTAATGTGCTGTTTGAATTTCAATTTCTGCTTATGAAGTATAGATGATATGAACGTTGTCTTATATACAGTGTGAGAAAGTAAAATATTTCGATTTATTTTAGTAAACTTAAATTGTTGTAACTTTTTTTTAGAACAGGCTAAATCAAAAATCTCCGTTACATTTTTGTGGTTTTTATCCTAATAACAAACCCGAAAGAGATTTACCATTTTAAGTTGTAATTGTAATATATGGATTTTCGGTGCTGCTCGCTTCACCGAAAGTTCAGTTGGCTGACATCACATATGGTTGGGGTTATCGTTTTATCAATTGCAGGTATATATTTTTTGTAAATTGTCATTTGGCATGATGTCGGCTAAATGAGCTGTCGGTGAAGTAAGGCGGATCTGTGGATTTGAATATTTTGCTTTATTTATAATAAATAAAATTTTCTGGTGCTTTTATTCCATAGTTTTAAAACATTTATGTGGTTTATTTTTCTATTATGTCAGTGTTTTTCGATTAAATTAATTTCCAAAGTCCGAAATATTTCGCCAATAAGAAATTTGCCTGAACAAAATAATTTGGTTCAAATTGCAAAATATTTTTATGGGGTGAATCGTACGATCGATAATCTACACTATAAAATGATAGAAGGCAACTCGCCAGAGGCGTGACTGACGTTGGTAATTTAGCAATAACAGTGAATGGAATTGATTTATTTATTAGGGGACTTTATTAAAATATGTGATTTATAAAATATTGGAATCCCGCAGGATGTCCTTTTACAACAACGAAATCTCAGTACTTTTATATCTTTTACTATCACGGGGCTTAGGGATTAATGACATTACATCTTTTAAATAATTCGAGGAATCAATTCTAAAGTAGGGGCTTATAATAATGATTACAATATATTATTCTAACGGAAAAGGCTTTTCTTCTCTCACTGCAGTATATTGCAGCCACATGCTGTTATATCTTTATTCTTCTTTCTTTCAACCTACGTCTTCTACGCGTACTTGTTATTCGGCCGACAAGCCTCACCTGTTAGAACTAAACATTTAGCCTCAATTATAGTGGCGTTTACTTCTTTGATCGCGAGTTTACTGTGCCCAATTTTGTAGATTATCGGACGTGGGTACCCCCATAGCGTGTATCCTCTACCAGTTTTAAAGAGCTGGACGGTGATTTATATCCGGGATACATAAGTATGGTATATACAGTAAAATATATTGTTCAATATATGTAAATACCCGAGGTACCCACGTCCGATAAATACGGTACTTTTTGCTCATGATAATATATAGTAATTTTGTATTAATTTACAATCAGAACGAACAGCTGTTCCCTTTTCGAATTTCTTTCCTGAAGGTTCTTCCTCCTATATAAATAACATACAAATTATAAGAAATAATAACCATCTAGTTATGTTTAAGAACACCCCTTCCTGATCTTTTCCTTTATTAGAATTTTTGGTTATTTTAACCTAATTGATATTTACCAAAGAATTCAGGGCACTCCTGAAAACATCGTGTTGTATAGGTTAATTGAAGGTTCACCAGCTGATTGATGTTCCTTTTGCCAGTCTTCATAATCAGGTCGACTTTCCTAAAAATAAATACATATGAAAACTGTTAATATTTCGACTTTCACAATCCCCAATCACTATATCAAGACCACTACTAATTCTCCACCAGATTGCCTCGAAGACTTAATAACAAATGCAACTCGCAGTCTATTTGATACATCGATGGTACTAGTACTGGGTCATCTCACAGGCTTGAACACGACGAAACTCACAGTTTGCCCTGTGCCCAATGATATTAGTAAAAATATTGATTGATTTTAGTGAGCGATTTCTTCAATTTTTCAAATAATTAAATGCAATCGTTGCAAACGTACTGTACAAACCAGAATATTGATTTGAAATACAAATACAATAAACGTAAAAAAAAGGATCCGTTTCATTTTACCGACAATCATTTCACTGACAGCTTAGTTCATTGACAATTAATTTACTGACAAGATTATTTTACCGTCAATTAATTCGACAAGTACAGTTATTTTACTAACAGCTCATTTTACTGACAAGTTTTTTTTTATAAATTATACTAACTTTAACTCTAATTTTTGCCTGATCATAATGGCAATGGCCAGAATTGACACACCTAGTATCATTACCAAAATCATGTATATACGTACGTACATTATTGGTTTTTAAATTTTAATCTAAGCACAATAATAACAGAATTATAAGATTTGAAGAATAATTGAATTTTTATTTTTATTTTTTTTTAAGCGATCCTGTCTTTATTCATGTGAACTGTTATATAATTTATGTACAAATCCTTACAACTTGTAGCTCTAACTCAATAAAGACTCACCAGGTTAAATACCCAATGCAACCTGCTATAACAACTATTAGTCTCACTCAGGATCCAAACTTTGATTATCGAAATGATGCCCCCTTGATTATTTGACAAGTTGTTGTATATCACATTAGGATCTCTTTTTTTCCTTCTATTCTTCTTTCTTCTCAAGAGGCACAAAACAAAAGAGGGAAATTTTTAAAAGAAAATGTACGAAAATGATTAGAAAAAGAAAAACAGAAAAGAAAAAAGGAATACTGATTGTGAAAAAGAAAAAATATGAAAAAAAACTAAATTCTGAAGGCACTATTATAACCTGTGCATGGCTAATAAAATTATATAACAAATGCAATATTTGTATATCTTTACTATAAAGCTTCACCAGAACTCTGGACATCTCTGATATATGTCATATTTTTTTTTTAGCAAATTGTTAAAAATTTAGTCAAAGATCCAAAGTTGAGTTTTAGCGAATTGACGTTAATTTTAGAATAGATCATAATTGACTATTTTGGCAAATTATATCAATTTTATATATGTTATATTTTATTTTCAGCAAATTACCTACATTTTGGAAAAATTATACTCAAAAATAAGCTACTTTATTTTTTAAACCATTATAATTTTTCAAAATTCAAGAAAAGATACTTAATTGATGATCTGCCACTTAACAGCATGGCAGACATTTGTTTTAATTGGTTAAAAAATGTAAACAAATAAACAACATGCATAATGTAGATTATTATCTAAATTTTAGA